TTTTTGATCGCCACTATATTGTATACAATTCGATATAACTATTAAACCTAACATATCACTTTTCAACATATCCTATCTAGTCGCTAAATCACCCCTAGATTTTTAATTTCTGAAATTTAATACTTTGTAGCATTGATTACAGATCTGATTTTTTTTTTTGGAGTTTGACACTATTGACCGAAATGGGACATATATTTTTGGGTTTTGGTTATTACACCAAATGAAGAGAAATCCAGATAAATCCGGATTCCCAAACCCAACCTATGTAGTAATTTCATAGTTCAAAAAAAAGGGTTGGGTCGTAACCCTATTGCAGATGTCTATGAAATACCATTATAACTATATTAATAAATTATGACAAAAAAATAAATAAATCAGAGCTATTTATGATAGATACCTGATGATTGACACGAGAATGATGTTCGCCACGTTGATTATCAACATTTCCATATGACCCATATGTATTAGTATCTATTTGACTTCCAGAAAGTTGTGAGGAAGTCGCAGCAATGTGATATGAATTAGAATTAGACTGTTTAAACTGTTGGACATCCATTCTTGTAGTAAGATGGTATGCAAGAGAATTGACATTTGACGGCTTTAACTGATTAACTTGTTGTGGTGCTTGATCAATAATATTTTTAAGATTCATTGTAGGCATACTATGTCTCTTAACATGAAGTGAACCACCGTTATCTCGCAAAGAACCATAATAAGAATTGCGCAAGGCCAATTGAGCAGGAGAAGGTGAGTGCTGGCCAAACGAATGGTGCACACGAGCAATTGCAGGGGGTTGTATTATGCCTGAAGTTGTCGGTCCAATTGCTGTGGGCATAGAAAGTTGTTGCATCCCGGTTGGTAATTGAGATGCAGACGTAATGCATTGACCAAGAACAGGAGCCGTAGTATTCACCGTAGTGTTTGCAGAATCAAAATATGAGGGTGCTTCTTGATTGAATTGTACAAACCTTTCAGAAGGTCTGTTATCTATTTGTTGTTGATTTTGAGCTGTAATTAATGATCCATTCTTCAGAGTATCAGAAGAAGAACGCTGCCTTTGATGAACATACAGTTGTTGTTGCGTTTTTGTATATTCTTTCAAGCATTCGAGCCAATGGGAATACTCAGAACCACTGACATACATTTTAAAATCCATGCATTCCAAAAATGCAAGTTCAATTCTATTGATCTCCTTGACAGGGATATTAGTAACTTCTGACCACGTTTTATTTGTAAATGTATTGTCATCAAGGAACTTATTCGCCAGCATCAATGCAATTGTAAACAATCTATACTCCGGTCCTTCCTCCCCAAAATTAACGGATCTACCGCTTTTAGCAAACCTTTGCACATATTTTAAGGACAAAATAACTACTGTGTTAGACAATTGCGTCTGTAATAGTACCTTGATTAAAATAAAAATAATAGAATAATATTATTATGACTATTAATTAAAATTATGTAGTATAACGTAAATTTTGTAAACACCAAAATTAAGACTAAATTTTTCTAAAATAATTTCCTTTCATGTGACAACACAATCGTGCCTAACATCATCCCATAGATTTTTTTAATCTTACCTGAACGCAAAAGTTTTTAAATTGGGAACTTGAAGTTTGAAAGAAATTAGCGGGTTGACTTGGCAATGGGGACGAGGGAGAAACTTGGCCAACCAAGGTTGAATCAGTCACCTTGACATGCCACATCTGGTATACAATATTTGAAGCAAACTCCCCAAGTTCGGTGGGGGTAGACACCTCAGTGGGAACAGGAGTTGGAGGCGTGATTAACGGCTGTAAGGTGTTAACTTCAGTCGCCTGAGAAAGAGCGAAAGGTGGTTTTTGTGGTGGTTGTTTGGAACCTGAAGCCGCCAGGGCAGGATACTGCACAAGGTTGCGTACGGGCAACCCATCATAAAAAAGTTGGCTGATTGGACCGGGCATTAAGGAATCGGCAGAACATATGTACATACCCCAGCTGCGAGTATGTACAAGCCGTTTATTTTTAAAAGGGGAAAGGGGAAAAAAGGAATAAAAAACGAAATGAAAAATGAAAAAGAGAATTAACTCTTTTCGTCAATGTACGATAGGAAATTAGCGAGCCCTCTTTAGGGAGAGCAAGCGTGATTTTGGGAAGTTATTCCGAGGTTTATACTTGAAATAATACGCAGTATTTTTTCGGATTGTAACAGTGGCGGTACACTAGGACTCAGTACATACAATGACTGAATCAGTGAGTCGGAGAAAGACAATGGACCAAAAAAAAAGATGATCATTTTTTGATTGATAGTTTAGTCCGACGTTTTGGTATTGAAAAGATAAATTTATTGTTTTAAAAATTCTTCACTAACCTATAGGGTAGGCTCTTGTGGTGTAGTGGTTATCACGTCTGCTTTACACGCAGAAGGTCCTCGGTTCGAACCCGAGCAGGAGCATCCTTCAAATAAATCAATATTTTTTCTTTTTTTTTTTTACTAATTAAGTATATGGATGGATGAAAGTCTCTATATAGAAACCTCTGCTATCTCGTCTAATAAAAAATTTTATATATTTGCTAAATATAACTGATGCACTTTTTTTTTTTTTAAAAAAAAACAACAATTTTGAGTTTCATTTATGGTTCGTTATATTTAGAAATAAAAAAAAAACTTTATAGCTTAGTATGTATAGTTGCATATTACATATGGCAAGTAAATCTACATGTGATAATTATGTAATTGTATATGAAATCAAAGAATTTTATTGGATGCTGCTCTGATCTATTTCCTTATTTAGGGGACATCCAGATTTCGAATTAACTTTAGGGTTAGGTAGGTTTTATGTGGTTATATATAAGCAAAATTGCCTTTTTGACATTTTTAATTAACTCACTCAAGGTAAGTTTAGACTGCCATTTTTAGATTTTTTTGCTTTCTTGTTTTGCTTCGCCCAAAATTCTATAATTTGATTGGCAAGATACCATGTGATTATGCCCATCGTAGCTCGAACGTCATTAAAATGTACCCTATAAATAAAATTGGGTTAAAATAACTATCACGTGCTAAATAAAATTGAGAAACAGGATAAGGAATCTATATTCCGGACACAGGTTTAGAGGTAGTACAGTAGTAGTTGAATCCTGATAAAATAAAATAATATATAAGTCCGGATATAATATATAAATCCGGTTGTTTTCATAAATTCTGGGCCACCCTGATCCGAATACATCGGATATATTTATATATTTTCCGGATAGATTTCCGGATAGATTTATAACCGGATACATCCAGATATACTGGATTTAAAATAGATTAATCCGGAAAATATATTCGAATTCTTCGCCCACAACAAATTTTCTAATTACGTGATTAACAGCCTAAAAAATTTTTATAAAAGTTAAAAAATGTTTAGTTATCTTGAAAAAAAAATTAAATTGTAGTAAATCTTTTTTTTTAACTTTAAATAACAACTATAAATTCAAATTTGATAAAATTTGATAAAATTTTTGTATATTAATTCTGAAAAAAAAGTATTAAAATTGGATTAATAGTTGTTGAGCAACTTTGTTTATAGATACTTAAATTTTGGCTTGATATTTATTTAATAAATTCAATTAAAATTTTTTATTTTATTTTTATAAACTTATAGAATTAAAATAAAAAAATTGATTAAATTTGATCAAATAAATTGTTGTTTAAATTTTAAATACTTATAAAAAAAGCTGTAGCTAATTTTTTTTAAAACTTTTAGTAAAATTTCTTAATAACTACTTATACAATTTTGATAATGTTTTATTTTTATTTTTTATTTTATTTTATTTTTTTTTATTAAAGCTTTTATTATTGGAGTTAGAAATTTATTCAATTTATAAATTACAGATACCTCTAAAAATTTCTAACATTTGTTATATAAACAAAAGCAGTAATTTATACTTTGACTATTTAAAGCTTTTTTGGCCTTGTTTATATTCAAAATGTCCACATATCAAAATTGTTCAAAGCTTGTCTAAGCTTTAATAATTAATAACTTTATTTAAAAATATATTTTGTATAGAAAAAGTCTATTTGTAACAGCCTGTTACACGCTTATTTGTAACAGCCAACAAGGCCATATTAATGTTAAAGTAGAGTTAAAGTTAGGGTTAGGGTCAAGATTAATACAGAATTGCGAGAGGATCATTTTTTGTTAGAAGTGCAATAGGGGTTATCATAGTAAAATTTTGAGTTATAAATAAAGCTGTTACAAATAAGCGTGTAACGGGCTGTTACAAATAGATTCGTCCTTTTGTATATACCATATTTTCATAAAATAACAAACATAGGCATTATTTTAAATAATGGCTCAAATTTTAATTAAGCTTAATTAGACCAAAATTTATAATTTTACTCTTGCGCATTATTTTATAAAAATATGATATAAATTTTTTTTATAAAATTTATATAATATATTAGATTTTTATATAATAAATAAAAAATACTTCTAATAAATCTTTTTAATATTTTAACTAATTTGTATAAAATTTATTAACAAGTAGTTTAAATAGTTTGTTTATTATAATAAAATTATAGAATATTATATTGTTTTAAAAAAATTAACTTTATATATAAATAAATTTTTTTAAAATACTATATGTTTTTTTAAATTGTACAAAAAATTGTTAATTCCAATTGGATATATTATATAGGGCGTTATTTTATGGCGACCCATCGCCATAAAGCAATCACGTGGTCAGCTTTTTTTTTATTAAATTTTTTTTTAAGTTTTATAATTAATAATTTTTTAAAAAAAAGAAAAAAACTTTGCATAACAATTTCGCAAAACAAAAAAAAAATTTTTCGAACTCGTTGCATAACAAAGACCCATTTTTTATTATTTTTTAAAAAAAAAACATCGATAAAAAAAAACATCGATAAAAAAAAAGACATCGATAAAAAAAAAAAAATCGTTGCGTAATGAGCGTCGTTGCGTAATGAAGTGACGAAGCCACCAAATCCACCCATCCAACTGCGACAAAGGACGACAAAAGAAACGGCCCATCTACTGCAACAAAGACGGTGAAAAAACTGTGAAAAAAAGGCGAAAAAAAAAAAACATCGATTTAAAAAAAAAAAAAAAAAAAGGACGACGAAAAAAACGGCCATCCACTGCAACAAAGACGGCGAAAGAATCGAGAAAAAGAAGGCGAAAGCGATGAAGAATCCTTGCAAAAAACGACGAACTTACCGAAAGAACCCACAATAAGACAACGAAGAACCTAATGGACAAACCCACGAAAAAAAAAGAATTAACTGGAGAACTCGTCAAAGTCTTACAGAAAAATTCAATAAAAAAATGACAAACTTACCTGAAAAACAACGAAGAACCAACGAAAGAACCCACCGAAAAGCGACGAATTTACCAAAAAACCCCAAGAAAAAAAAATCGACAAAGAAACTCACCAAAAAGCTTACGGTACTAAAAAATTTACCAAAAACGACGAAGAATTTACCGAAAGAACCCACTGAAAACGTCGAAGAACCTACTAAGTGAACACCGAAAAACGTCGAACTTGCCAAAAACCCACCAAAAAACGACGAATTTACTGGAAACCCACCGAAAAATGATGATGAACTTGCCGAGGGAACCCACCGAAAACCAACGAAAAACCTATTAACTCTACGAAAGAACCCAACGAAAAAGAACTTAATGAAAAAAACCTACCGAATCATGACGATCTAAGTGCGTCTTCACAAGATTCCAGCTTCTGCTCCAACGACGGCACCAACAATGGCACCAACGAAAGCTGCTCCAACAAAGACTCCGGCGACGAATCCAGCAACGAAGATTCGAAATGACAACTAAAAAAAATATATCGTGTTAAAAAATTAAAAAAATTAAAAAAAAAAAGATTATCTATATGATCGCCAATCTAAAAAATGATTGGTCGATTATATAGGGTCGCCATGCCAATGGGTCACTATCTATAATTTTCCTATTATATAATATTTATATATCAGCAAAATAAATCTTTAGATATTGAATGCTGAAATCTTTCAAAAGAATTGCAATCAATATGAAATCTTTTGAAATATGCGCAATCTTTCAAAAGATTTCAGCATGCATTTTTTTCAAAGTATTTCGAAATATATTTTGAAATATTTTAAAATATATTGCGAAAAATATTGTGAAATAGGCCAAATAAAAAAATGCAAACCTCTACCTAATTATCTCTTCAGGGTCACAGGAGGTAATATTTTGCATATTGTTGTTTAAATCTGCAATATTTTGCAATATTTCGCAAAATTTTAAATTTTTTTTTAAATTTTCACAATTGAATATAAAATTTTATATTTTTTTATTTATTATTTTTTTTTTTGTTGTTAAGGTGAGGTCATGCCTCTAACTTTATTGAGTGTATATTAATCGTTACAATATATTGCTTACAATTATTATACTATCTACTAAGTGTCGAGACTTAGACTATTTTATCCATAACCTAAACCTACCAGAGCCTACCATATTCCCATTTATATAGCTAGCCTGGTTTTGGATGTCCCTTTTTCCCAACCAACAGTTAGTATTCACATGTCCACCACTTTACCCACATTTCCTACTATCATTACTCCCAATTTGATGTATGTGATTCCAGGTAGGCGCTTGCTGCTTCCAAATTGGTATACCTGTTTCCTTACTAGCGTACTTTTCAGGAGTTCGTATCTTAAGCCATGCAGCTGCTTCTACCACATTGGGTAAGTATCTCAAGCCTGCATGCTACCGCAAATAGCCGATTTACTTGCGACTTGGGGACCCAGGATTTAACGTTCCGAATTCGGAAATGTGCTAACGACTGTACTTCCCGCTATGGTGACGAGTACCCAGGCATGTTTCACCAGAGGCTTCCAGTCCCTGATATAGTTGGATGGCGTCATGAGGCTCGGCCAACTCGACTTACCACTACATGCACTTATACCAGCTATACCTGTTACTGGTGGTCCCAGATCCTCTTAATGTCCTAAGACTCCCATATGGTGACCCAGAGCTCCGTTGGGCTTTAACACGTACACACCTCCATGCTTCCACTTCTTGTTGGTCGGTCAGTTCCATTTGCTCTTGCGAAGTTCACTAAACCCCAGTACCCGAGTTAGTCACTCTTTGGATTCTTTCACCCAGTCATTCCAGACTACCAATCCAGTTGGCCCGGAAGGATCAGTCTGCCAGGCTTTAGGTGCCTAAGGTCTCCCTTTCCTTGTTCATGCTTCTATAACACATGACCTTTTCCTCTGGTACGACTCCGGCAGCCAGGTTGGTGGGCCCCTTTTGCCATAGGGGCTCTTGCCCGTCCAGATTTTCCGGTCAGTCTCCGCCAAGGTTCTTTCCTCCGGTATCGTTGTAAGTCCAGCTACCTCTCCACTCAGGACTTGCCAAACGGGTTTCAATTGTTCCGGTCCCTTGGATTTGTCTGTGTAACTTACACAAC